CCTGGAAATCTGGATCTTCGATCTGGGCATTGGCTTTTTCTCATGAGAGCTCTATCACAAAGAGCTCCGCATGAGAAGTCACGAAGCTTGTGCCTTTGGGCTCCGAAGGAAGTGTTGCGCAACCCTGAGCAAGTGTTGCGGCCAGGTTGACATCGAAGAAGCTTACGATGATGATTGGACTGCGGCGGCCCTTGTTAGTGAGTGTTGCGAGATGCTGAGAGTCTGAACGGGATATTGGTTGTGGGATGTTGTGGGTAATTATCTGGTTCTAACCCACTCCAAAGCCCAAAGTCCACACCCCTGTTCCGTGTATGCCCGTTCTTCCCCAAAATCCAGAACATGAATCTCGACACCCCGCACCCACACACTCTCGTGACCTCCAAACCCAGCCCGCCCTTTTGGCTGCTCTCAGGTTCGACCTCCCCCTGCGGAGTGGCATCCTCCTCGCGGCGAGGAAGACGCTGAGGCCGACGCGAATATGTGGGCTCTTCTAGGCTATCCCGGGCTTTCCCCGGAATCATGTTTGTCTCGGGGGCTTGAGGGTGTCTGTGCGGTCTGATCTGAAGTCCTCCTTTTGCGGGGCGGGTCCTTTCCGGCATATGCAAAACGACGCGGTTTCCAGCAGCCTCTACGTGCCGTTGACCGAAAGCATTGCCTGCTGCGGGTTCCTCAAGATCATCCCCCTCTGGACGCTTTGTTGAAAACAGCAGGAGCAATGAAGACCTGAATGCCTTTGGGCCAGTTCTTGGACCAGGGGCCCTTCTTCCCGAGCCTGCCTTCCGGCTCGCAGGGGTAGTTTTGTCCTTCGTCCTTCACACCTATGTAGAACCCCTGAAAGTGTGATCGACGTCAGGCCCACCACGGATACGCGTCGAATTCCTGGGGCGAGGGCCCGTCGGAGTCTCAAATATCTGGAAATCAGAGGGTTTAGGGCCTGTCGGTGGGCGCTGCCGCGCCTGCTGCCCTTTCAGGAAGTGTCCCGAACCTACCCGGGCCCTGAGTTCGAAGACACCGAACTAGGGCAGCATGACCTGCTGAGGCCTGAGAGCTCTGCCTTGCAGGTGGCCGGCTGAACCTGAGCTCGCGGCATACATAACTCTAGCTCCCGAGCAGTGCTTCTGCTCTTGCGTCGACGGCTCTCAGAGCAGTCCTAGATCTGCAAACTGGCTGTCAGGAGGAAGGCTGCAGGTTCAATGAAGTCGTCATTGCTGCACCCCAAGCACTTACATCCCTCAGAACTAACAACAAAACAAGCCTGCTCATACCTGAGCACCACATGTGGCACCTGTTTCTCCCTGTGTGCATACGAACAAACGAACAGCCAACCAACCAAACACACCAACCAACATGCATGCATGCATGCATGCATGCATGCATGCATGCATCCATCATGCATACATGCATACATACATGCATACATACATACTCTATACATATATATATATGTATATAAGAAATTTCAGATATTCAGGTACAGGAGCAGACACATGTATTTGCATTGCAGGCATGCATGTATGCACATGCACACACACACTGTCTCTCACACGCATGCGCCCATGTGTACATGAGTATCTATCTATCTATCTATCTATCTATCTATCTATCTATCTATCTATATATATATATATGTCTGTGTGTGCACGTATGTATAGCTTATGCGAATTCTCTGATTATGGTCGCACAGTGCGCACGTGGTGATGGCTGCGTGGTGTACACGTGCCTGTGTAGAAAGACATCAGCGCAAGCACTCGCACAGATAGATGCCTACGCGTAAACATAAGCACATATTGTAGAAGTAGCCTCGAACTGAGCAGTCAGTTGCTGCAGTTGCTGCAGCGAAGCAGATTGTAGTTGATCGGCGCTCGCTGGCAGCCCGAAGACCGAACCTCGTGACCCGAGGGCAGCTCGGGTGAAGATAGGGATCCCCTATTGTCGTTTTATTGAGGGTCTCTATTCGGGTCCTCTATTGAAAATGCACAGACGGCTGAGTCGGATCACATCCCAGGTGTCTAGCACACAAGGATATGCAAGGTAAAGGAGATGATTTGCGAGCATTTCGTACTGGAGCTGGACGTACTTGCGAGGCTGGGGCAGTGGGCAGCGGCATGTCGGGATTCGCTTGCAGCTTCACTTCAGGTAGCAAGCCGCCATGCGAATGGTTGTGTTATTCGTGATTTTTTGCTGAGTTCGGGAGCCCTGGAGATCTTCAGAACATCCAGAGGTATAGATAGATAGATAGATAGATAGATAGATAGACAGACAGACAGTTAGATAGATAGATAGATAGATAGATAGATAGCTATATATATATACACATGCGAAAGCATGTGTGATGGAAGGCACACTCGCGTTTCTCACTCATTCCTCATATTCCGTTCGTGAATGCATTTGTGCAAATCATACATACGTTGCACACCTGTACCTTCTACATAGACACGTAGCTGTACTTACCCATGCAGCCTCCAGTACATTCAGGTGTGGATGCCAGCGTTGCCTGCGTGGATTGTTAGATGTGCGACAGCGTGAGCCTCCAGGCTAAGACGCCTTTGACCCTCACAGCAGGATCTCCCCCGGATCAGACGCCAAGCCAGTAATACTAAACGGTTGAGGCATCGTAGGGCTGACGTAGAGCTTCGGTCGACTCCTTTCACTGAGCTCCTTCCTGGTTCGGGGGAGCCTCGCATCTTCCGCTCATTTGCCGTGGTTTTGTTGGGACATGCTGCACAAAACAGGAAAGGCTCCTCGATTGCACCGGCTTGATCGGGGAGCAGATCGATTTTAGGACTTGTTTCGAGCAGAGGTTGGATTTTTTTGTTACAGCCTGGACTGCGTCTCTTATCTGCCACACACTTGATGATGGTTTCGCTCGGCCCATCCGGGCTACTCGTCTGAGTAAGATGGCTCTTTGGCTACTAGTAGTAGTAGTAGTAGTAGTAGCAGCAGGCTTACCAACACGTCAGCAGCAAAAAGTCATTGTCATGTCAGGTGATCAGAACTAGTTTTCGCGAAACCTAGCCCTGCCCGTCATAAGCAACTTAGATTGCTGTTGCTCACAGAACCCCCGCACCCTGTGGCCCCGTTTTTCCTGCAGCCCCATGGAGTTGCGCAAGCCTGCCGGGAGGAACCTTGTCCGCCAGAGTTGAGTTGAATACGACATGCATCCGAAGCTTCGTGCGTTCACAATTCTTTGTGAACGGCACCGTGAGATCTAAACGGCCTTCGAGCATGACTGAGGTATCGCATGTCCTCGCTCCTCTCCAGCCAACGCTGCTGGACATTCAATTTTCAGAGGATAGTGAGAGGCGGGGAGTCGGAGGGTTTGTCGATTTAGTGAAGGCTGCCCAGCTTTTCAGAAACGGCCTCGCAGCGGCCAAGGCTGCATGTCGACTGTTCGCACAAGGCAGGCACTTCTCGCCATCGAGCGCTTGAGATTGTTAAACCGTGCAAAAACTGCCTGGAACTTGTGTCGTATCAGATGGGCACATGCTGGGCCATTCAAGAACACACGTGGTGAGGTGTTGGCTACGGCTGAAGGACAAGATGCGGATTTGTTGAACCGCTTCTCTAGCGTTCTCTCATTCTAGATGGTGTGGGTTCTCCTTACGGGGGAGCCCTAGCCCCTTTTTGGTACAGACGAGGGGAAAGGAGATCGGTCGACCAGCAACCGCCTCCTCCGAGGCTTTCAGAAGCCCCTACGCCGGCCACCGCACGTCGTCGGCACTCCTCGCCAGCCTCGCCGGAAGCCCTGCAAGAGTTTCAGAAACTCAGAGACGGCGAGGGCCATGAATCGGAATACTTATGCAGGGCGCTTGTGCCTGACTGAGGCTGACCAAGTCGCCCAAGCTTCAAACCTATAGTGTGCACAGGCGTCGTCGTAAGCTGCAGCCGGAATCAGACAGCCTGCAGCAGCTCCCACGTGATGACCCTTGCAGCGGCGATTCCGAGGTGATGGAGACGTGGGGGATGCCTTCCAAGGCCCCGACAGGATTTCTTTGTAAAGCGCGGAATCGCATTGGTGTTCGGCTTCATGACGGGGGCACTTCGGGCCAAACCGGCATCAGCAAGATAGCGTGCCAGCATCATTCTTTCTATTGATGGGGCCCTTCTAAGATGAATTCTGCGAGCCAAAGGCTGAAAACCGTAATATAAGCGTCCGACTAATTGGTAGCTATACCATTTTTCCACACTCATACTATTTCCCCCATTGTGACTATACTCTATCATCCCCAGAAAGTCCTTGCCTTATCTTCGTGTAACCGTGAAGATCCGCAGCCTCGAGGCTTAGTCCCGGCTCCGCACGACTCCGAGGAGCCTGTTCTTTTCCGGTAGGGTTTACGTGAAGTTTGGGGTATACCTCCACCCTAAAATACTGCACCTCCCCTTTAAGGATGTATGCAATATATAAGGGAATCGCAGCAACGAGCCCTAACAACGCCTAACGAGGTGCTTGAGGTTCTACAGGGCTCAGGTTGGGTTTAGAATCTCCGGTCTCCGGTTCCGGTGGAGGAGAGTGGATCTAAGTAAGAACATCGAAGGAGCCTTGCCAGTATCCGCTAATGATTCGGTTTTCTCTTTCCTGATCTTGCTGGATCGCAAACGGGTTCGACTTTCGATGGCTTCTTCACACGATGGGTTTCGGGTTTGCAGCTTGTAAGCCGCACTTACAGCTCGTAAACATGATCTTTACCCACACTTAAGACTTGCTTAAGGCCTTCCACTCCACTTCCACATAACCCGAGACCATCGAGATCTGAAGCCGGGGAGTGTCCCAGCATCAGTACGTGCAAATTCTGGTTAGATTCATGCTATACCCGGCCACAGGCCGCTCGCAAAACGAGCACTATCAAGCAGTAGGATGGAGAAGGCATCCAACGAAACAAGTGAAGCTGGCGGAGACGTGGCCTGTTTCGCCGAGACCCTGAGTATTTTGTTTTTGTGTTCGCGTGCTCGTGTGTTCAGCTCTTCAAAGAATTTGAGGGCCCTCGAGCCGAAATTTTGAGGACGATGCGGACTGCAAGCTGATACCTGATATCATGAGCTTGGCTGGACCGGGGGGCGGAAGCCAGGCACCGCTCTTGCAGGGCTAAGGTTCAGACCTTTAAGACTTTAGGGTTTAGGGTTAAGGTTCAGACCTTTAAGACTCTAGGTGGATTGATTGAGCAGGCATCTTCGATTCTCATGGCGTCCGAAGGTTCGTTTGGCTCCCACAAGTCCTGCAATTACTCCAGACAGCCTCTGAAACGCCAAAACGTACTACGCGTTATTAGCTATAAACCCTGGCCCTCAACCCTAAACCCTAAACCCTGAATCCTAAACGCTGAACCCTAAAACCCTAAACCCCTAAACCCTGAACCCTATAAACCCTGAATCCTAAACCCTGAACTTAGAACTCTGAGCTCCAAATCCTAAACGGGTTGGAAGGTAAAGATGCTCGCATAGGTCATAGCTTTGTTCCGTGGGTTTGGCATTTATAGCTTGTAGGGTTTAGGTCTAGGTAGAGGCATTAAGATTGAAGTTGGGCATGGAAATCCGGATTTTATGCGAAGCGGCCGGTTTCAGATTCGTTGAGGGTCTCCTTCCGACGCATTTTTTTCAATTTTTTTCCACAGTGTGACAGCGTCAGGGCTGGGGGCCAAGTGCTCTCGTCGTTCCTAGCCAAGCCTGTCTGGGGCGTCTCCCGGCTCTGAGGGTTTAGGGTTGAGGGTTTATAGGGTTTAGGGTTGAGGGTTTAGGGTGTACAGGGTTTAGGGTTTATAGGATTTAGGGTTTATAGGGTTTAGGGCTCAGTTTATGAGGATGACAATAGTGACGATGATGCTGTTGCTAATCATTTGACGGCACTGCTACTGTTACTTGCACCTGTTCTTGAATCCAAGACGCATCAGGAGTAGCAGGTGTTCTTGCAGCAATCCCTAACCCCCCAGGTACCTACTATATAGCGTACTAGAGTTTTTAGGGCCCTATATAGTAGGTACCTGGGGGGTTAGGGAATTCTAGCTGGTTCAGCTTCCTTGCTTTGCAGGCGTGTTGTCCGGGCAAAGCTTCCCGACCGGACACCTGCTTCATGACGCATCGCTATGTAAAGCAGGCAGGCCCTGTTCACAAACCCTGGATGGGGGTTGTTAGGGTTCTTTTGGGCTTGGGGTTGGGGGATGTTGAAGGTGCTGCCTGGCGTGGGTCGATCGATCATTGTTCAGCTGTTTCGAAATTCGGCGATTGAATTGGTAGGACGCCCACACAAAAGGGAAGCTTACTCCTTGTCGCATGCTGTGCTTCTCCCGCTGAGTTGTCTCGTTTTGTGCGGAAGACTTGACCCTAACGCAGACCCTTCAAATGACAGGAAATCGCATACCTCTCGCGCCGCATCGACGAAGTCGGGCGCTACTTCGTGGTGCTCCGCTCAAAGTACTAGCCGGAAATTCCGAAGTCGAGTGTTATTGGGCTTGATCTTGCTCTTCCTCCTCCTCCTCCTCCTACTCCTCCTACTCCTCCTACTCCTGCTACTACTACTACTACTACTACAACTACTACTACTACTACTGCTACTACTGCTTCTACTTCCACCACTACTACGACTAACGACTGCTGCGACTGCAACTATTGCTGCTACTGCTGCTGCGACGGCTTCTGCTGCTTCTACTTCTAGTTCTACTGCTGATGCTACTGCTGCTCCCACTAACTGCCCAACAAGTACCAGTGTTGCTGTTTCTGGCTCTGCCTGCTTCTGCTTTGACGACGGGGGCTAATGGTTTGCTGCCACTGCTCTTTCTGCCAAGTGATCAACGGCTCTCGCCTACTGCGAAAGTTGAATGCCATAGTCAGGAACCGAAAACAGCGACGACAATGTAGAGAAACTCCCTCATGTATCACCAACAGTGTTGCCGCAAGTTGTTACAACCCTGATCAATGTCATGCTGCCTTCTTCTGGTCACGTTTAGGCATTACCATAGTGTTATCATGAGGCCAAATTTGATGCCCAAGACTGTTGGTAGTACTCCAATGCCATTTCTACTATGATGGCTATCCTAAACCCTAAGCCCTAAACCCTAAACCCTACCTTAACCCCAAATTACCTACCTCTTTAAGGACTTATATAAAGAATTCAACATAAGGAACCCTAAAAAGGTAGGTTCTTTGGGGTCCAGGGAAACCCTAAACCCTACTATCGGGCTTCGATGCTTCCGCCTTAAGGCCCTCGAGACGATGCTCGGCTCTGGAGCCCTGGGCCCCGTGCTGGACAGGGCCTTGAAGGACACCCTGGGTTTTTCTATGGGAATCGTATCAGTCGTTGCAGGGCGTTGCAAGCATACTAACTATATATGATCATAGCGGCACGACAGACAGTATCAGAGGAAGTAGTAGGAGATGGAGCTGGAGCAGAAGCAGGTGCAGGAGCAGCGGGAGAGGTGGGGCTTGAGCAGGAGCAGGTGCCGGAGTCGCTGCGTTCGTCGTGGTCGTAGTATCAGTGCTGAGAGTAGGAACAATGGCTGGAAAAAACGCATTCTTAAGCGTAGCCACGTGGAAAAACGGTCCCTAAGAGCTTTGCTCAGAAGAACGCAGGAGCTGGAAGGTCACCTTCAGCACCCCGAGAAGCTTGAAGATCCGGAAGAGGTCCTGCGTGGTCTTTCGTCGTTCTTGGCAGGGCTTTCTGAATGGCCTGTACTGGGTTTTTGTTGGCAGGATTTTTGCGCGGACCTTGCCCGGTCCGATTTGTGTTTCAGGGTGTGCATAACAGAATGTCATGGTCTGCTGCCCTCGGTGATGTGGGGCCGACGGCAGTCTGTGTTCCCGTGACGCTACTAACCGGAGGCCTATAGACTCCCCCAAGGCCGCTCAACAACCAGCGAGAATCAAAACGACATGTGCTTAGGTCAACACTCGCTTGTCCCTCCCCCTGCCTCCATCCCTCCCTCCCTCGCTGGCTCTCGCTCTCGCTCTCGCTCTCGCTCTCGCTCTCGCTCTCGCTCACGCGCGCGCATGCTGCACCGACACCAAGCCCTAAGTTACTCAACAAGCTCCGCGCCTTCCCAGAGGTCCAGAGCTTCATCGATGCTGCCGTACGGCTAGGGATCGGCCCCCATCGCTACCGACCACTCCAGGACCGGAGTTTCCTGCACAGGGCCTTCGGGTTTGTCAGAGGACCACGAGCGAGGTGGTTTCAGGAGACATTCCGCTGAGCTTGTATGATTCCGGTTGCTATTTTGCTGGGGGGGTTGAATGGCACAGGTTTTAGTTTTATTCCTGTGCGCCAAGTTTTAGTTCAACGTAAAGGGCCAGAACCTGCATGGCTTGGGCTGGCTACGGGCCAAGGGACATCGCCTTTCAGAGCTGCGAGAGGGGGGGGGCTGGGGCGGGATGTCTGGATCCCCGGAGGACCGCTACGATTGGCTTTGCCACGGCCGATATCAGGAGGAGCTGCGTCTGCAGCTCTTGGAAGCCAACCTGGCCGAGGACTCCATGCAGCTGCAGCAGCTCATCGATGACTCCCTCCGGGCCGGCATCAGCGCAAAGGAGCTCCACCCGGCCCGTGTCCGCCTCCGGGCTCTCCATGAGCAGGAGTTCAACGAGGCCATGCTGGCAGCAGCCGTGGCCGGGGACGTCCGCAGCGTGAGGCAGAAATTGAGAACTGGCGGAAACTGTGATGCACAGCAATCTTCGACGGGGCATTCTCTTTGGCACATTGCTGCCTCTCGGGGAGATGCCGGGCTTGCAGAGATCGCGAGGTCCTCGAGCACGCAAGTTGACCTCTTCGACCGATCTGGCTGGACTCCCCTCATGTTGGCCAGTGCTCGGCACGACATTGTCCTTGTGCAGGACCTGCTCGCAGCTCAGGCAGACCTGACGGCAACCAGCAGCAGAGGTGAAGTCATTGTGGAGTGCCAGGATGCCACCGAGCTGGAAGCCTTAGAGCGAGAGCTAAACGACAACCGACGGCTCATGAATTATTGGGAAGACTCTGGCCGATGTCTGGACTTTGGGGATCAGCTGGCGGCTGGCGAAGAGCTGCTGCTTCCAACTTTTCAGAAGGTTGGTGGGCGAACGGTTCTGCATACTGCTTTGCTCAGGCCCGGGCTAGAGAGCTGCCGAATCTCCGTACTGAACGAAGTGTTGGCTCAGCCGAATGCACCGGTCAATGCTTTGGATGACCTGGGCTATTCTCCACTCTGGTATGCAGCTTGGCATCTTTATGATCTTTATGCTTCCTCTTCACCTTGCTTGCAATCAAATGCAGTAGCTTCCAGCAGGGAGAGGATGAGGTGGAGTCGGAGGAGGAGGAGGAGCCGCAACACACGGACTCGGTGAGATCTAGGTCTACGCGTTGAAACCGTCCCCTGAGACCGAACTCTTCATGTTCTCAACAAGACCTCTGCTGTGCAGAATGAAATGAGCGCGAGAGACACAGAGATACATCCTCTACATTAAACCGCACTTAGCCCAGGCCGCGCATGGTGGCTTCGTGGGCTCATCATCTGCATTGCTCCGAGCGGGGGCGAGGGTCTCCTTGGGGAACTGCTCCTGCATTCAGGCTGGCAGCCGAAGCGATGGGGTTGAGACGTTGTGACATTTGGGCAGACACCATTGCCAAGCTGTCGATGCAACTACAACCCTTTGAAGACAAAGGGTGTGGAGGGCATTTCACTACTGAAATCGGCTTTGCGGTCGAATGAATGGTATTGCCAGTATTCAGTATTTCCCTGCCACTATGTTTCGCCGTTGCTATTGCCGCCGCCGTCGTCGTCGTCGTGTGGTGGCGGTCGTGGGGGTGGTGGGGGTGGTGGCCGAGTGTTGCTGCTGCAACCGTTGCCCCTTCTCTTCATATTATAAATTTGAATTACAATCATGTTCATCATCATGCTGCACGATGCATTTGAACAAGGCAGTAAACGGGAAGGTTGGCCGCTACTGCCGGGCCGCGGCACCCCCACCTGACACATCATAGGTTTTTCGGAGTCTGGGGCACGTCTAGGTCTCGGGGGTTGGACTGAAGGTTTGCTAAACCCTAAACTCCTAAACCCTAAGCCCAAATCCAGAAACCTAAACCTAGGTAAAGGTTCCCGGTGTTTCTATTGCCTGGCTTGCAGGCTGCGGCGGACTCTTTTGCGAAGGCCGCAGCACAAGGCGAGCCTGCGGAGGCAAGCTGCGAGGGGCCTTAATTTAGGGTTTAGGGTTTTCGTCAAGGGATCCTTCGAAAGGGGTCTAAAAGGATTCTACACCAAGGGTCCTTGACGATTGGGGTAGTTAATAATTAGACTAGGGGTTTTGGGTACATTGTAGTGTATACATAAGGAACCATAAGGATGGTATCGGTTGCTGTTCAGGCTTCTACGTTATGCAGAGCTAGCAGCATGCAGGGGAAGAGTTCTCGATCAGCACTAGCTGCAGCAGGAGCGGCACCGTAGAACTAGCGGCAGCAGTCAAATCAGAGATACCGGTGGTCATGATTCCTGGCATTCTTACATTGCCACCTGAAGCTAACAGACACCTGTTAGGTATGGCTTCACATCTGCCGCCTATTTTCACGTCATGGTGCCGGGGACTTTGCGGAGGAGATGCTTGCGGCCGAGGCGTGCTAGTTTAGGTTGATATGGCGGGTTCAGGGTTTGGAGCTTGCAGTTCGGAGGGGGTGCGTAAGTCGCTACGGTTACTGCCTTTTGGGCTCTTGGGATGTCAACAGTCAACAGCGCAGGCTGCAATCGCTGCTGCTGGAGCTTATCCAGCCTTGGAGCACACCCCGGATTTCGAGGCCATGTTGATGGTATAGAACGTGTCTGGCATTATGTAGACTCACACATCTCACACACCAATTCGAAACGCCTGTGTTTCATTTCACCTCTTCGGTTGCTTTCCATCGCGGCTCCAATGCAGGAAGCTTTGGAGGCTTCCGGCGCAGCAGAGGCACTGGATGCTGGCTGTGCGGACACAAGCCATGTCTTCGAGATGCGCTACAACAGCTGCCTGCTGATCCATCGACCTCCCTCTCAGCTGACATCTGCGGAGGACGCTGCATCCTTCGCTTCAGCTGCGCAGCCTGACTTCGAGAGCGTTGCCTTTACACTTGCGAAGATGTTCGGCGGATATGCGGATGTTCCCCGCAAGGTCAGCGCATCACACATGACCCGCCTGTCCCGCCTACAAAGACGGTATGCCGGAGATTTCTGCTATGCACCCGGCGCCCCAATCGATTGGGCCGCTGTGGTGGGAGGGCTGGAGGCCACACTGGTGTTGCCAAGCGTATCCGATGTCTACAAGGCATTGGCCGAGCTGGAAGAAAGCTGGCCCTTCAAGATTCGAGGGGTCTGGGACCACCTTTTGCGTCGGGACAGCAGCCGACCTTCATGGCAAGATGGCAGGTGCCCTGATGACCGGTTGTTGTTTTATTTTCGTTTCGATGTCATTCTATGAAGTGGGTTGACACCAGCAACAAAGGATGGATAATGTCCAAGGTTCATCTTTGTTTTCTACGTTTATTTGGTTTCGCGATTAAGTCACCACAGGGTGCAAAGTCCAGGGCTGCCAGGGATGCTGAGACTTGAGCCTGGCCATGCTGACTCTTCACTCAGCTGTGTGTGTTTGCAGATCCCATCGCCATTGTAGAGATGCAACCTGTGAAAGTACGAGCCACCACAAAAACTGGCAACACGAAATCTTACTCGTCGCCCCGGTAGATATTTCGATAAACCGGCTGGTTTACTATGGCCAGAACAAGGGCTCAATGCGGTCTCAATGCCGGCCGCATCTTCGAAAGCGTACACACACACAACAACTGCTCTAGGTCGCGCGAGAGGGCTGAAGCGGAAGCTGGCGACAGCGAGCAACAGGGGAGCAGTTGCAACCTGGCTGTCATAGTACTGGATTTAGTCAGCTCTGACGTTGCTAGCAGCAGAGTTTTTTAGAGACGCGAGCCGAGTCTTAAGAGCATTAACTTTGTCCCCTCAGATCACTCTGGGTCCCTCTGGCTTTGCCAAGTTGATTTTGGGACCTGCGAGGTCTTCGAAACTTGTCGGCCTGTGAACCCACTCTGAAACTACACCCCAAGCTGCCCTAAACCCCAAACAAGGTGAGTATCCTGCAGCCCAGAAAGTCGCAGTCGCAGGAGTGGAGGCACTGCATTCAATAGACGCCTGCCAGATCTGTCGCGTATTGAGTTTCTTCCGTCAAAGCTGCAGTAAGCCCTAACCCCAAAACCCCAAAACCCCTCAACCCTTGAACCCCTAAACTCCTAAACCGGAAAGTGCCAGCCCGGGCTAGCATTCTGAGCTTGTCACGGCTGAGGGACTTGTAGCTACCTTGTGCGTACTGTAGACGGCGGAATAATTACCAACCTTATTCCTCAGGGTTCCTTAGTGTAATTATACGTATTATAGCATACCGCCCAAGCCCTATTCTGATTATAAAGGCCCCTAAAGTATGTCGTTTGTGCCACTTTTTGAGCCTCAAGGGAGCACTGTTTGCTTTGGACCCTTCAGGGCTCAGCTATTCCCCAGGGCCCCCGAAGAAAGTGCATCTCTGGAGTTGTGGCTTCGGGTCTGGACCTGCACTTGGCTTCCTTTACCTGCCTAGTGAAGGTTTACGACTCTCTAGTCGTCGTTTTCGCATGATTCTACGAATGTGTCCATTGTCGGTCTTCGTGCTCTGTGCTGGGTCCTTGACAAGAGTACCTTGATCTGAGGGCTGCTCTAGATCAGGGTGACGAGGGTCGCCTGTACATCAGGCGCCCGTTTAATATAAAATGGCCTTGATAATTAGAATAGGGTTTGGGGTATATTTTGCTATAATTATAATAAGGAACCTCCAAAACCCTAGTCTAATTATTAAGGCCCCTACACTATGTTCGTAGCTCGTTGGTCTCCCAAGACTGCGGAGAGGCGGCCGGCCGGAGGGCACTTCGTGTACTGGCAGAAGAGCGGAAGACAGCTTGGATGGAGCCTCCGTCTGTGTTCAGCACCAGGACATTGTCGTCATCATCATCATCATCATCACATCACCCAACATCATGAGCCACCGCTACTATCCTCACCATCCCTATGGCCATCGCTGTGCGATTCTGATGGCGGCAGTTGCTACGCTGTCATTGATGTTTATGTTGCTTTGTTACAATTTAATTTTGCTGAGCATGGAATTGTTTGAACGGTTGTTGCAAGTTGCACGGCCCTGCCTGTCATGCTATTGTGTTGGCAATAGGTGTTGCATGTCGCTGTCGCTAGTGTCGTTCCTGCAGTTGCTGGTGCCGCCGGCTCTGCTGTTGCTTCTGCTCTGGGTGTTTCGTCGTGGCCGTAGTCGTGGAGGTGGTGATGTTGTTGCCGTCGTCGCCGCATTCGCCGCCGTAAATCAGGCATTCTTATTCGTGCTGTTGGTGCTCCATGCTGATGGTTTTTGTGGTCCCATGCAGATTTCGTAGAGTGCTTTGTCTTTCTTTTCTGAGCACTCTCAGTCCAACTTAGCTTTTTCTTGCGCGCCGCGAACAGCCGTATGATGACATATGATCTGTGGGCTTTGAGTGGGCGAGGAACTACTGTACTAGAAACGCCAGAGCTGGAGGTGGCCAAGGTCAGCGTCACTGCAGTCGCAGAGAAGGCAGCGTGCCCGCTTCAGATCTTAAGATCTTTCCAAGATGTGGTCATTGCAATGTCGTCAAGCCCGGTGCCGCGACCCAATCCAGCTTCACCTGCCTTTGCTGCCAGGTGCTCCAGTCTTTCCGTGGGACTCAGGCAAAGTGCGTTTGTCTGTCGTGTCTGTCGTCAATGCGGAGTTTGTTGCTGGATGCTATCGCCAGGGACAGGGGCTTCTGGAAGGTTCCAGATTCAAGATGATCATGTATGACTGTATGACTGAAGCTAGTCTGAAGCCATCATCGACAACTTGCCATGTGGGGATCTGCGGGGTTGGCAACGTGACATGCAGAGGTGGCATTGGAGAAGACTCCTGCCGCAGAGCTGCCGGCAGCAGATGTGATCGAGAAGGCCCAGGCCCGCTGCGAGAAGATCTGTGACCTGAGGGTCTAGCCAGGCTCGCCAGCCTACTGAATCCGAATCCTTACGCTTGTTGGGGAGAGCCTGTGTGTGTTGTGGAGCTGTGGAGATCCGATCGTCCAGTTCCCGATATGAGAATGAGAGAGTCTCGGTCAACGGATTCAGGCGGCCATGGTCTCCACGCCTCCACTTTCGAGCCCGTGGCGAGCGGAGGAATCCAGGTATCTTCCTCAGTGAGGGGTGCTTTTAGAAACCAGGATCCAGGCGTGGCAGTTGTGGTCTTTTCTAGTGGCAGGTGCATTGTAAGAGGATCTACCTAGAGTCTCCATCGTAGTTCCTTTTGTGGGTTACCTTATAGGATTCTAACTATAAAGTTGGTTAAACCAAAAAAAGAACCATAATGCAGACTATAGGTAGAATCGGTCTGCCAGGCCCGGTACCACCTCAGCGGTCGCTGACGGGGCTGACAAGCAGGCACGTCGTGAAGTGTCTGTAGAAAGGCTACCGGGAAGCCTGTTCTCCTGCCCTAAACCCTAAACCCCTAAACCCTAAACACTACATGTGATATTCAACCCTCTCAGGACTCCTGAGATGCTGCAACCACTTACTGCCCCTCCAACCTGTACCAAGTCGTGTAAACTGCGAGATGGCGAAAAAACATCTGTCGGCCTGCCTGTGTATAGGCCGATTTGTCCACAATGTGCAGCTCCGCATCTCCTTGGTGAGAATATATATATATATGTATATATATATATATGTATATATATATATATATCCCTCTCTCTCTCTCCCTGTCGCTTTCTCTCTCTCGCCTTCTGTTGTCAGTGCACATCTCTGTCTCGCCTGTGTCGCATATCTATCTGTGGTATTGACTGCATGTCTCTATTCATCTACTCATCTCCGCTTTCCCTGCTGCTTTTTGTGCTTAGCGATGGATGTTCAATGCATGTGCATGTCTCTCTCGCGCACACACACACACACGCACGCGCGCACGCACGCACGCACGCACGCACACACACACACACACACACGCTTATACATCTCTCGATCGCTGCGGTCGTGGTGACGCTTGTAGCGTGCTTGGTCTTGCTGTCATCGTCATCGTCGTTGTTGCCACTGTTGACGAGATGCTGTGACTGTTTGTGTTTGCTCCTATTGGTGCCGCTGCCGCTGCTCCCGGTGGGGCGAACCGGGTAACCAACCCCCCCCCCCTGTTTCGACGGGGGCCGCGGCTTGGGACAACGCGGCAGCATCCCTTCTCTCGAGAAGGGGGGCTGACCGTCCCGGGACATCGTAGATGTCCCAAAGGTCGGGACAGCCGTCTCAACGCGACTTTCGACGACGCTGGACGGAGCGACGGAACCACATTGGCCACGAAATGAGTGTAGAAGGGTCGGGGAGCATATTCAAATGGCACCTCTTTTTGGTTCTGTATTTCCCGCGGGTGGGTCAAAAATATATAAATGAGTGTAGAAGGGTCGGGGAGCGTATTAATAGCACCCCTTTTTTGGTTCTGTATTTCACG